TAAGGCCATTACTGTATTGTATTTGGACAGGAGATGCTTTGGGCATTAACGGCATCCTTTGTGTTTGGGATGACACTGGACAAATGAAGGATATGAATTACAGAAAATGAAGCCGTAATTTCTCTTTATTTTCTCTCCCTACCTCTCTGACTCCTCAGCGTGTTCTGCCATCCATTACGACGAGCGGCCGGGCTTTCCCTCTGTCCTCTAATTGGAAAGCTGGATAGCAGTAGGTTTAGCCAGTAATGGGGTCCTGCAATTTGGTTGCAGAAGTCCTTCTGGAGAGACTTGTCAGAATTTCTACAAGGGCGTAGTTGTGTGCGTCCCACTTTGCAGCCTCAGATGAAAACCCCCGCATTTTAATAATGCAGCTGTAAGCATTTCGTTCAATTCAAGGTGGCGTCATTAGGAGCTCATTTATTCACCCGAGGTGTGTGCCTGGGGGAAGATGACACCGCCCAGATCAGCTGTTGTAGCTCACTCTCAGCACCTCCCGCAGGGTTGGAGAAGGGACAATTAGAGGGAAATGGGCAAACACGACAATCATAGCATTGTTACTGGATTGACACTTAAATAAAACAACATGCTGTGTCTGTAGGTGAGAGAGGAGTTAAACTGATTACAGTTTTAGGGACAGCGCGGTTACGTTCGTTTCTGACTGTTCTGTTGGAGTAGATGTAAAAAAGGGGGAAATGTGGCAATAAGCGAGATGCACCCTAGAACTTAAGGTTTTAGTCTTTGCAGGCTTTTCAAGCTAATGTCTGAACCAATAAATAAGCCAGTCGGAAAGCCTGCAACAATGTCCCAAAAGCATTTCACAGAAGGGACGGACACCAATCAAATAATTTCCTCTTTCATGCCTGGTGGAAGAAGTTACTTACCGTGGTCTTTAGCCAGGCTACTGATCAGAGGAAAAGCACAGTGTAAAACCTCATGAAAAAAGGGGATTCTTAATTTTTACTCTCTGGTTATGTTGAGTATGTGCTGGTAGCCAGATTTTGGAACTCACGTACCATTATTGTTGAATCTACAGAAAGTGAATAAATACACTCAATAAAGACATGCTTTTGAAATAGATAAAATATATTGTCTCATTATGAAAGAGACTTAAGCCCATTGATAATTGATCATCTCTGGGTTTGGCTACTTAACTTACCCACATTGTAACAGTCCAGCCCCCCCCACTCTACTTGTCAGTCACTTCCCTTCACCTGTTCACTCACCTGCCACTGATTATTAATCAAGCCACTATTTAGACGCCTGCCTCCCAGACACACATTGCCACGTTGTTCTTGGGTTTTCCATGGCAGAGCTGAGCGCTCGCTCACAGACTGATCTCCTGTGACCATCCCCGTTCTTCCCGCCTTGCCTGACTGCCGGTAAACCCACCAGCCTTCTGATCCTGGCTGTTCAACTCTGCCTGCTGTTTCTGGAAGTTTATAGTAAAAGATAAGACTCTCTGGAATTTTTTGTGTTATATTTGGGTCCATATACAACTGGTTTCACAGATGTCAGATCAGTGATACCTCATTGGCAGGGTCTTTGATGCAAATACTCTACACTGAATAACAGTTTTAATACCTCAACCATGTTCTATGTCAATTCATAATAAAACAATGCACTTATAAATAATATGCACATGAAGTGCAAATAAACCGAACACTTGGTAACTTTATTTTATTATTAGTAATTAAAAATTAGGAATGTGTGTTTGCCAAATAGAAAACCCCTTCAGACCTCAATATCAAGTCTCCATATTGTGGCCCTTCAACATCAATGCTTGCAATGTCTCAGCACTGTAACCTAGCAACAAGACTCTTGCTTACATAAGATCTTGTTTAGGGTATTTTTTAATGAGGTACAACAGATGGCAGACTGCTATTTTGCGCATGCCTTAGCTGTGTCCAAATTCCCTCTATTAGTGATTCACCATCTCCTACAGAATGATGAAATAGTGAACAAATGTCATATCTTAAATTCTTTATATTTGCTCCATACTCTTCTTTCATTCAGTGTTATTAGGGTAGTTTTTTTTTCAAAAACTATTTGTGGTTTTAGTGGATCAAACCGCTTAAACTTCTGGCAACATAAACCGCTTTAGTTGAATAGCCACTAACACAACTCTGCTAATTTGGTCATAAAACATTTTCCTATAAATTCCTTATAATAAAAGGCCCTTTTATTTTGAAGCGGCAGAAACAAGATATTTTTGGTTTCCATCAGTAGTAACTTGGCCAACTTGGACACCTGATCTCAGCTGTGTTCTGGCCCACTTTTCCTCCCCTCTCCCCAATGCTCTCGCTCGTGTGTCGGGGCAAGATAATGCAAGACCTGCGTTTGATGAATTATTTTGGATTTTGCCCACATGCTGTTCGCACCTCGCCGAGATCCGCTAGCCATCCTACCTGGGGCTCTTCTGTTCTTACTGATCCAGTCCCAATGCGAAAGAAGGTCCGATCTCGGAGCTCATGTACTCGTCAGTTAACGCGTCCTGGCATGATAACACGATTGCATTAAAAAGGCGAATGTAACCGCAGCCCTACTTTCTGAAGCGGTTTAGGTTTAAACGGTTCGATGCAGTAAACCCACAAATAGTTTTTGAAGACATGAAACAAAAGCACGGGTTATTGTCTGGTGAATAAATGAATATTCTGTTCTTCACAGACATTCCCGCCACGTGTCTAAAGTTTGACTAATTTCTACTGATCTTTTATTCTGTTCCCTTGGAATTTTGCTATTCTCTGCTGGCGCAAACAGTGTCATCCAGTAAAGCAACTGAGCAACAGTAGTTTTGAGCCAAAAAGCTGACAGCTCTTCATCAGAACCCTTTAAAACTTCTCAGTCCCTGCCTGGGAGAGATAGGATCAGTAGACAACCCCCAACATTTTCAATTTTGTGCTATCAGACACTGAGGAGATGTGTCAACAGTAAGTAAACACAGGAGTCTGACAAGCAATAACCTAGATTCAACATCGCCTCCGGTCCTCTCCCATTGAAGGTCCGCCACTTTCATCTCATTTAGATCTACATCGGCTGATCAAAAACGACGCCTATTCCCCCGCAAAACAGAAAGGCCAGTGATTGTCTCTCATGTCACTGAGGTCTGGACTTTTTCCGACATGCGCTCTTACCTGTGTAAAAAACCTGTGCATACATGTCATATCGGTGTGTGCCCACCTGGGAGGAATTCAACTTTATAATATTTAAAAAAACATGCGGTCTATATAATAGAGGGTAAGCAGTGATTTGTGAATCGTAGCTGTTGTATTTCCTTTCGCCATAAAGACTGTAGGTATACGAGTGTTGATGCTCGTAAAGATGCACTATCCTTTATTTAAGTGGAGGCTCCCTACTCTTTATGGTGCTCGTTCAGTCATTGCATTGGGTTTATGGGGGCAAGTTTACGGGCATTGTTAGTGACTAGCGGTGCAGCAGTGGGTCCAAACCAAGAATTGTGTGTCTGCTTCTCTACACAGTACAGCTCTCAATGACAAAAGAGAACACATGACTCCAAAAAGTGATGCCGGGTCTTCAGAGGAACTCTGGAAATTGTGGAATCAACTTTTCTTTTGTTGTTTTTTATAGCAGCGTTCAGGAGGGATCAGAGGGTCCAGAATAGTTGGAAGCCACGGACGACTCAGAAGCCATTACTGTATAGCACAGACCACTGCAGAAACACTCCCTCACAGATTCAAATCTTGCAGATTAAAAGAGTGTCTCATAAGCCTATATTCGTGTGCACGTCCACCCGCGTGCCTGCGTGTGTGCGCTCAGTTAAATGTATTTAAACGCCTTTGTGGGCGGCTGCATGTGTGTCTGTGTGTGTTTGAAGCAGCCTAAATACCGGAGCTTTTAACATCAAAGCTTCAAGAGGATTTAAGTGCTTAGAATCTTGTCAATTATGATTGTAAGCGATGTCCAGCAGGGACTGCTGATGACGTTTCCTCAGTAGAAAAAGAACTTCTCTTTTTCTTTTATGAAAATATGCTTTTAAAGGGCTTTGATTTATGATGCACAGCTTCCAGGCTGGCTGAAGTGAAGCCTGGTAGCAGACCCGTGACTCACTGGTCTGGTTTTGTTCTTGTGCATAGCGGTTTGGGAATGACTGACCCCATTGAAGCCTTTTGTGTGTGGAACTGACTGACTGCCAAGGTCTGTCACAAAATATTAAACAAAGTTACGGTTACGTCATCACTGCTCACAATATGTCGACATGCCTGAGCCCGAACACAAAAGGAATTATACCTATGAAGAAAAAAGTTGAGTTTCTCATTCCCTGTGAGCAGACACAGGCTATCAAGCTATGTTAGCTGACATGTTAGCAACTAATAGAGGGCCCAAATAACTAAAGCCCGGCTACAAGTGCACGGTGAAGCATTCAGGCGATGTCCAAAAACATTTTTGCATTTTGAATTATTAATTTCAAACCAATTTTAGCTTATGAAGTGTTAATAGGCAAAAATAGATTGAATAGATTACATTCTTCCTATTGGTCCGGTTTTAAAGTACACCACACACTGTCAGACTGAAACAAATGCAGTGGACATAGATATTTCACATCCACAATTAATGCAATATGGAAATGAACTGTGACATTTATTCATTTTTTCAAGAACTAAGTTAACATTTTGCTGTGATGCTTATTTCCTACAGTGGTTTATTCTTGGGGAACCCAGGAAGCCCAGTCGGTGGTCTTTGTATGTTATGTCAAAACAACCCAACAAGTAATGTTTCAACAATAATAGTCAAACTTCATGATCTAGTCTGCGTATAAGGTGCCCAGTGTGATTTAACACAAAGTGAGAGGTCATTTTAGTACAGCTCGTTCTGTGCTTGAATGACCCCTCACTGAAAAACCCACCTGTCACCGGACAAGATATCTAACATACCTCACTGTCGAATGTAATATCACTTAAAGGTGATGTTGGCGAAGGAGCCGTGCATCACAGATTTGGAGTGCTGATCCTGTGTATTTCTGTTTTCTTTTTCTTTTTTTGTAGTTCCTCCCAAGATATATGACATTTCCTCCGACATCACGGTAAACGAGGGCAACAACGTGTCGCTCATCTGTACGGCCAGTGGGAAACCCGAGCCGAGCATTTCCTGGAGACACATAACCCCATTAGGTGAGTTCACTCTCCGTCTCACATACCTATGCTAATGGACGGGTGGATTGAGAGAGGAAACGAGGAAGCATGGACAGGATCAATAAGTGATGGACTAATGGGGGGAGAGGACTGGTAGTTAGGCTGTGGATGAAGAGATGGAAAGGAGGAAGCAAGGTTGAGGTTGGAAAGATTCACGGCAACAAACACACGTGATGATGCAATATTTAAGGACAATTATTTTTCAGTTATGAAATAGATTCCACCCAATATCAGTTACCGCTTTACCTATAAACATTTGTCGAGATACAATGTACCTACTTACATTAGTATGGAATTTTTTAGTGACAGCAGAAAAAAAATCCAGTATATATTTTTTTAATTAAAGATTTGTGATATCTGAAAAACACTGTTAACCGACATGAGGGAGCCTGAATGTTCGTTTTAATCTGATAATTTATTGATTATAATATAAAAGGACAATGTGCAAGATTAGCGATGCACCTTATATAATAAGTTCTTTACTTCGACGTATAGCGACTCCAGCTCAGACACACATCACGGCAGAGAAAGGGTGGCTACATTTCACTCCGATGGATGTGGAGATCTCTCATTGTCACAAATGACATAAAACCCGCCAAAGGAAAGGAGGTAATACCAGCAATTTGTCAAAACATTCGGCCGGCGAGCAGAACAGAAATGTGCAGAAATGCAGAGTATACGGCTGTTTGTCAGGCAGCCGTCCAACCTCGTCCACTGCAGGTGACCTGAGCAGCCACCTACAGGTTAATAATGACAATAGGCTAATCAGTGAAAGCTAGTCAACAGCTAATTGTCTTGGTGCGATTGTATTTCACAGGATTTGTGTACTTTTTCTGGAAGTCATGTTTTGAGTTTATTGAATCATTGAACCATAAGTTAGTTGACAATCCATGTTTTACTTGATTTAAAGTAATCAAATGATCAACCTTGTGACTACTCTTCACACCTGGCATAGAGGGAAACAGTTAGACCACTATTTGACCTGTTATTAACCACTCTATTAGTCTGTATTAATACATCTATGGCTTCATCTATGGCTGTTAATGACCTTATCTAAAGGACCCCTATGGGGTTTTACCTTCATGTGCATGAAATCTGCACAAGGAAAAGATTACCCTTTTTTTAAATTGAATGTAGCTATCCTGGGAAAATGTGTTGCGTAAGTATTAGTATTTAAAAAATGTGAAATATCCCCTGGAACGTTCCTACTTCTCACCTCAGTGGTTAACGAATAAAAAGCCAGAGCACATTCACTCCAAAAAATCAAACAAGCCGTTCTTTATTAAGTAGTTCTGCCATAACAAATTCATCTCTCATCACTGCCGAGGACCCTCCCATTTGCTCTGGCATTTACGGTGAATTAACAAAGAGTTTTTATTACCATTATAATTTATTTTGGGGGCTCCTATTAAGTGCTCGGAGTTCTGAATCCTCCCTTTGAAATGCCTTTAACTGTTGCTGCCCCGCACCCTTCTACTTCACCCTCATTTTCATATTAATGGATTAGAGCACGCTGTGCTTATCTGATAGCGGTGAGGATGACTGCATTTATCTTATGGCTGTCAAATCCTCCTCTCTGGTGTGCTGGCCCTGATTGCGTTAGGGGAGTTTTCAGAAGATGATCAAAAGAGCCATCCTCAGAGTCCGAGTGGCAGTCACTCTTTCTTCTTTGAAGTGTCCGCACTTTGAAGTACGCCGGGAAATAAATGATATGCTGGTCAAATGAAAGGGGCCCGGGACAAAATGTAATCACAGGCCGTCTCCCAGCACATCAGAAAGGAAGCCATTTGCCGTGGGATCTTTGAGGTGCTTATTGTTGTAAGGGCCATTTGTCCAAAGGACATGGTACAACTGAAAGGTTGTAATAGGCTAATTACCTATCGATGGAATTCAATTACAAATGTTGGATGTGCAAAACTGCTCCAGCCAGTGAGTGCACGTGGGAAGCTGAATGTGGAGGCGAAGCATATGGACACAGTCATGTCAGTTATGAATGTCACTTCAATAAAAGCAGACACCCCCAACTGAACTACTTAAGCTACCGTTAAGGGAAAATGGAACTGCAGGTTGCTTTTCACCATTGGAAAAATGACAACATGTTGTAAATGGTCATAATACCGGTCATCTCAAGAAAATTGTAAACCCTGCTAAACTTAAAATGTGTACAGATGGAGAGTTTTAGGTGAAAATCCAATGACTACTAGAATGAGGTCTCGATCCCAAAACTGGCATTACCAAAATTTGCTTTGTTAATTAAAGTTTTGCGGCTGACAAAAGTTTGGAGACCGTTGTATTACACTGTGCACGCGCTGTGTATGTCCGCATATATGCATCTGCATGCACGCACGTGTTGGGGCGGAACTGCCGTGTACAAAATCATTATTTCAGTACAAATCATTATTTTTTTATTTATTTTCATAAATTTCAGACTTTCTTGGTGGGAAGGGAGCCCCCCCCCTTGTTCATTGGTAGGGGAAACACTGCCATGCTATTACAGAAAATATAAGCAAATACACAAATACTTTGAGTTAAACACAATGGAAATCCTCAATTATTATTGACCCGTTGTGTTCTGTGGACACAATCTATAGGACAAACTTTTATTTGAAGAAATGAACACAAGTAGATTTATTTGCTTATTTACTGTACTCCCCTCCCGCCCCCCTATTAGCTTACTGGGGTTCATTTGGTATTTTCAGTCAAACATTTTGTATTGTGAATTTGTATAGAAACCATGATTTTTGTTTGATGAATCGTATCAGCACTCTTCAGCACATTATTCGTGCTACTTTTACTCGGTTGGAACAACTACTTTCATTGACATGAGGCCAAGCAGGTGATGTGGCTATAAAGTCACAAATAGGTCCAAATGGCAAGCCATCCATTCTAGGTGGAAGTGGGGCTATTTTGACTGCTGCAGCAGTCGGGGAAGTTTGACAGGGTGATAAATTGCCTTGACTGACTGTCAAGTGCCTATTCCCCCCTCCGACTGTTTTGTGTTTGCTTTTTTTCCTTCTTTCCGCTTCCTGCCAACCAAAAATGAACTTTGTGCCTCCAGTGAAGTGTGGCCGTGCACTGTTTATTGAGATGGTATTTCTGGCCCGGGATGTGTGCATATTAAGTCAATAAATAGTCTTCAGTCGGAGGGATGCAAACTGAGGCAAGCACTCGTAACACATAGATCATCTTTGTTGACATTCCACTAGGAGAAGAAAGGGTGTCAGCATATGTCTGGAGCTCAGTTGGCTTGACGAAGTATGGTTGCACAGTTTAATTACCCATGTAGAAATTGTGCTTGGCAGTGAAGTCCTCCGGAGTTTGGGGTGATTGCTGCGTGATAAGGTTGCTCATGACTGGAAAGCCTGCGAGAGTCCCTTTATCAGCCGGTGAGATCTGGACGTGCAAAGGAAAACTTTCTCTCACTAGTTCTCATTTAACATTTTTGCCCTTGAGCAAGGATTCCACCCCCGGCTGCTCCAGTGCTGCAGCTGTCACCAGTTAGAAAGAATTCCTGGGAAGCCTGAAAGTTTGTGTTTATCAATGCGATCATTTTGGATCCTGCAGCTTCTACTTAAGGATTTATGATCTTCTCAAACTGCTTGTTTGGTTAAAAACAAGCTGGATAGAGAGATACCAATAGAAGGACTATGGCGATAATACTTTAGCGGTTAGCTTATATGACACGTCAGCCTTTCGGAGTATCTCATAAACACTATGACTTGGTTCCTCACCAGTCTTCAGGTCATAGGGAGGGGGGTAAAACTGTCCTTGATAAAGTTTGTTTCAGATTGGTTGGCTGGGTGTCTGGGCTAAATTCTCTGATGACCTTTTTCACTTGAGATTTGAATCCATTGGATAGCCGTGTGACCTTTCGAAAGGGCTGACTACTATACCAGAAAATGTGCTCAATTGTTTCCTGTGATGGGACTCAGCTGGGGCCGACTTTTTCTCACTTACTTAAAAGTTAAGGTCAATCACTTAAATTAATTAAGAATAACTCGATGAGCCTTAGTTTTCCTTCCTTATAATATAAACAAGTCTGATGTCAGAGAAGATCTTGGCAAAGCTCATATGCATGGAAGCAGTCATAGCATAACACTAGTATAAATAATACTCCATTCCCTATGGTGTCTCCCACATACAGAATAAAGGGTAATCGCGTCATTTTAGAGGAGACACAACTTTGTTTAAACCCCGAGGTTTAGTGAAAGCCTTTTCACAAAAGGCCTCCCAAGTGTAAAATACTCCAATGCCTCTTAAAATACCAAACACATTTCATCACATTTGCTGGTTTGTCCATGACAGATCCTCCTTTTTCTCATCATGAGATGAACATTACTCTGTATTTTAAACGCATGCACCAAAGAGCTTGGTCCCTCGAGGCTCCTTAAAGAACTAAATATCCGTTTAACGTCTGCTAAACATTAATTATTTATAATGCATTTGAACATACTGGTCACCATCTATGATGACTCATTTGTGGCAAGTATACTGTTTATAATATAATGGATACATCAAATCAATAAAACAATATGAAAATAATACAAATACAAATATACAACTATTACAACTATTTCATATAAATATAAAAAAACGGAAAGTGAATTACTATCCCAAAAAATGTTAAGTACAGGAGGAAAAGAGGGTAGATTTACCGTTTCGAGGGAAAGTTAAATGTTTCTTGAGATTTTTTTAACCATAATATTAGTAACAACCTTCAAACTTTTTTTTAAATAAAAAAAATATCCTGGTGCATCAATCAGATCATCAATTTGTCATTTTTATTTTTCTCAATCTGTGAGCACAAAGCTTCCTCTTGCTTTTGACAGTTTGGAGTAAATCCATCGTCATGGTCTTTATCGTATTTTAACTAACACACATAAGGCATACAGTGTGAAGGACCCGAGGCCTCTGCACACTGTATTTTTTTCCCGTTATGGTGCCTCTTCATTTAAATGCAAGACGCAACTCTTCCCCAA